GAAACACGTAATTTGGTGAAAGAATTCCATGTTCATAGAATTATTGCCTTTGGTTAATGCATTTTTCGCTTTGTTAAGAAACCCCTTGCATAGAAACTCACGCCTTACAAGTTTATCATCTGTAATTACCCAAAAACTAAATTTACTTTCCAACATTGTTAAGAACTTGATTAGTCCAAAGTTTTCAAGTGTTTTATGCCACATTTAATCTTTAATATGTAGGTTGAAGCTGAAGCTGAAGATAATGCCAAAAAATGAGGGTACGTTTGTTTCCCTATTTTGGCCCTATCCAATTCTTATTATTTCCAAAATATACATTTGTTTCCCTATTTTGAAAATACTATTATATTTTATTCAACTATTTTTAAACCCGTTAAGTTTGTTAATTTAACTAAACACCCCCAAAAAAGTTTGAAAACTAACAAAAACATCCCCATCCACACACATTTGCCAGATTCCAACCACCACCGGTAGAAGGTGGCTGGAATATGGTATAATTACGCATTACCGATTGGATCTAGCTGGAAGTGCACTGATACCAAAAAATGCCAGATCTACAGCCAAAGATCTAGCCGTTGACGGCAAGATCTTTGTCCGTAACTAGTCATCAACGACGGCTATATCTTTGCCCATTGTTAACAACCAAATGCGGCTAAGTTATTGAAAAAAATTTGAAGCAATTGAATGATGCATCACCCTCAAGTGATTGTGAAGGCCTGGTTGGAATAGATTCATGCATTGATGATATGAAGTAGTTATTACATATTGAGTTGCCAGATTTTCAAACAATAGGAATGTGGGGTATGGGTGGAATTGGCAAAACAACTAGTGTCGGAGTCATGTTTAATAAAATTAATAGTCAATTTGAAGGTTGTTGTTTCATTTCAAATGTTAGGGAAGAATCAAAAAGACGTGGATTGGTTAATGTGCAAAATCAAGCTCTTTCTCAAATTTTAGAAAAAAAAAAAACTGAAAACAGGTTCTCCCAGTATACTTGCATCTATTAAGAAAATGCTCCAACAAAAAAAGGTTTTAATTGTTATTGATGATGTGAACAACTAGAATTTTTAATTGGAGGGCTTCCTCAATTTGGTCCAGGATGTAGGATCATTATAATTGCAAGAGATATACAATTGCTTTGTAGTTATAGAGTGAATCACATATATGTAGTCAAGAGGTTAAAAGACAATGAAGCTCCTCTACTCTTTTGTAATTATGCCTTTAAAACCAACCATCCAGATTTGGACTTTAAGGTGTTGTCAAGGAAGATAACTGATTATGCCAATGGCAATCCATTAGCTCTTAAAGTATTAGGTTCCTCTCTATATCAAAAGAGAAAACAAGAATAGGAAGGTGCATTGTTTGAATTCAAGAAAATTTCCAATCCCATTATTCATAATGTGTTGAGAGTTAGCTACAATGGATTGAATGTAGAGCAAAAAAGCATATTTCCAGATATTGCTTGCTTTTATAAAGGTTGGACTATCAATCATGTAACAGAAATACTCAATAGTCGTTACATCTCTTCACAATTTGAACTTGGAGTTCTACTTGATAAGTCATTGATCTTTACAGCACAATCTAATAGGATACAAATTTCCTATTTACTCCAAGCGATGGGTTGGGATTTTGTTCATCAAGAATCATTAACCGTGCCAGGGAAACCTAGCCAATTGTGGGATCATGAAGATGTATTTCATGTATTGAAGACGAACCCTGTAAGTTTCAAATGATTTGAGTTGTTTCTCTTTTACCAAAATTTCTAACAAATGATATTGAATTCACATAATACTTGTATAAATTTTAGGAATTAAGATTGTATGTATTAAGGAAGGTGACACAAGGCAAGAATAAGATTCAAATTCAAACAACAAATCTGGAAGTGATTTGCAGCAACAATCAAGCCGAGAATCATGTCCTGTAATTGATGCATTTGTTGTATTTTAGTAAACAAAATCTGTAACTGATTTACATGTTATTTTCTTAGCTGTACAATTCCTTAGATAGATTTGTAAAGTCTATATAAAAATCATCCAAAGGATCAATACAATGAGTGTGTTGACATTTCCATTGTGACCCCCCCCCCCCCCCCCCCCCCCCCCCCCATTTTGTTAAGGCCATATGGTGAAAAGATTACATCAGTATAACCATAGGACATAAAATTTGCTAATTCATTACACCGCTTGATGGAAAAACAGCATCATGGTTTTCATCACTTGCTCGGTGAACTCCGGCGAAGAAACAACAATAGTAGAAATTTCTCCAAGCTGGAGATGATAAAGGGTCCATATATCTTGGCCAACTCTTCTCGTCCACGATGAGGAAGACATCCCAGAGATCCCAGAGCAGCAAGCTGGTGCAGATTAACAATAAGAGGTAATTTCTGTGGCCCTGGAGGAAGACTTAAGGTTCCGTCGTTGGTTTTAAATCTTTTCCCAATTTATCCAATGAAGACAAAGATAAGAAAGCTGAGAAGGATTGAGAAGGAGGGGAACACGAGCTCCATATTGGCAAGATGGAAAGCGGAAAGTGCGAGGAATATTTATACCATTTTGGCCTCTAAAACAACATATATATGCATTTCACTAATTGAATTGTTATCTGCACACGGATGGGTCCACTTTTGAAATGGAAAACCCAGAATGATCCACTATCAAAGTCCCTCAATAAGGTTTTTTTCTTTGCACCTAGAAAATCAATTATTAGTTTCAAAATTATATTTTTTATCATATATATTATAATTGCATACATAGCTCGCAGATTGATATTTAATTCAATAAAAGTATAAAATGACAAAATAATGATTTTTTTTTTTTAAGTGTAATAAGAAAAATCATTTTTAAAATTTTAATTACATGTTTTTTAAGATAATTGGATGCAGAATGAAAGGCTTGTGAGTAGTAACCATTTAAAAAAACAAAGAAAAACATACTTTGTCTTTAGAATCGACAGGTTTTTAAATGTAGCCCCCCTTGAAGTTTATATATTATTCAATTAACCATCAGGGTAAAAATTATCCTCCTATTGATTTTTGTAGACTAAATCAAACTCTAGACTATAAAAACTATAAAAAGACTTAAAAACTAACTATTCTTTAGAAAAATGTTAGCTGACACAATTGTCTTGTGTTAAAGATTAAAAAATACTAAGAATTCAGGAGATTAAAAGTTGAGATTTTATATGTTATTTTTTTTTTTCTTACATTTAATTGACTATATTGCTTAAGTAGATTTTTTGTATCATTTGGTTGCAATTGAAGAAAAATTTATAGGTAATTAATACGGTATTTTATCAATGCCTCTACTTGAGCGAGTTGTTAATTATTTGCGTGTAATTCATCTTCCCTGCAAAGGATGATTATGATGGCTTCACGGAGGCTCTTAAGTTTCAAGACCAAGTTGCCTTATTGCTCACAGACCCTGTGCCTCTTCAAAAGAGTAGCTCTATATGCACTAATTAGATGTATATGTTTGTGGAGTTAATGGGAGTCAAAATTATGTCTTTAGCCAGGGATTGAATTCTATTAATTCTCTCAATAATTGTACCCGTGGAGATTGGATATCAAATACGTAGCCGTTTCATATTAGATACAACAAATCTTTGAAACATAAATTTCACATCACACGAACCATTTCATTCAAACTTCTTATTTATGTAAAGTCCAGGAGTTCCTCTCAGCCATATTAAGAAAGAATAACAACGCCTTCTTACTCTTATTTGAAAAACATATTAAAACACAGCTAGATCTGCCACTTCCATTTCAGGCTACGGGAATGACGCTTAAATCATGTTTTCTTGTGATTGTCACACCAGACAGCTCTTCCATGTCCAAATCTTCATTCTTCATTCCACCTGGAAGTTTCCAATCAAAATGGTACAGCAACGATGCCAGAGGAAACTCAACATTGGCCAGATCATATGTAATTCCTGGACACATCCTCCTTCTTGCGCCAAATGGGAGATATTCGAAATTAGTTCCTCTATAGTCAAGAGAGCCATCACTGAAACTCTCTGGATTGAAGCTCTCAGGTTGGGTCCAATATTCTGAATCCCTTGCAATCGTCCATACGTTGACCAGGACTCTGGTTTTGGTTGGAATGTTGAATCCATTAATCTCAGTTTACTCTCTACATTCTCTTGGAAGTAACAAAGGATCAGCTGGATGTAATCTCAGAGTCTCTTTGATTACTAGCTTCAAGTATTTCATTTCGCTAATGCCCGTTTCATCAACCTTCCGTTTTCTATTGAAGACTTCCCTGACCTCAGCTTGAGCCTTTCTCATCACTCCTGGATTTTTAATCAGCTCGGACATTGCCCATTCCATTAGAGTGGCAGATGTGTCACTGCCAGCGCTAAAAACGTCCTGTAAAAGAAGTTTATATATATAAGTAATCTTTGAAATATAAGCATAGAAGAGATAGTGGTCAGGTTTTAAACATGGTTGATTTTCCCCTGAATTGGAGATTAACTTTGGAAAGTCTATTTACATGTAATTAATCTTCAAAGAAATCTAACAACTATTCCACCGAACTTTTAGAATTTATGTTCACCAGATATTAGCTAGAGAGAGATTAAGCATTGAACTCTAAGGTTTTATGTATAGATGTAATTATAAGAATTAAAAATACTTACAAAAACTACTGCTTTGATGTTCTCGGTGGTTAAGGAAAATTGAGGATCGCTATCTTCTTGACACTTCAAGAGAACATCAACCAGATCGTTATCTCCTCCACTCCTCACGGACTTCTTATGTTCATTGATAATGTTTTGAATTATTCTGTCAGATTCTTGCATCAGCTTCTCAAATTTTGACTTGACTCCAGTGATGAAATGGAGAAGTTTGATGGAAGGAAACAAATCTACAATGTTAAAACCTGTTAGCAATTGTAAAATCCTCTTGATAGCCGATTTAAATTTTTCTTGATCTTTGCATTTTTCCCGAAAAGTTGCCCTTGCTTTGGGACCGTATGTTGATGAGAAAACTGCTTCGGTCAAGTTAATCACTGATCCTGCTTTTGAAGCTGTTGTAAATCAGACCCAAAAACATAAAGAATCATGCAGTAGTCCAGATTGTTCATTCAACCAAAACAAGCACAAAAGGAGAAAAACAAATACAGTAAAGAAAAATAAGAAGAGAGACACCAAATTTATAGTGGTTCGGTAATCTGAAAGATTACCTACATCCACTCTTCAAAGGCAACCAGAAAAATAACTTCACTATGAGTTTGAGAAACCTTACAGAAGAATCGGCTCACCCCTTTTACACCAAGGCATCAACCCGATACAAACCCTCTGATTTTACACCCGTATACCCAGATGCTCTCACCACTCATACATCACCAAAGAGGCAGAAATCAGTACATATTTATACAAAGAAAAAGACTACAACAGAAAAGACAGCTCACACCTACCATCACCGTTGATTCCACAGACGGATCTTGGATTTCCAGCACAGCACCTCTAACCATTTCTCTCTCTGTTAACCAAGAGAGAGAAAAGGAGAGAAATGAGCTGCGCACAAAACCTAATTTGATTTAGGTTTTTGGAACGAAGGGAAAAGACAGAACTACCCCTCTTGTCTTAACAAATTACTTTGACCAGCCAACTCCCAAGTTGACTTCCACGTGTCATCAGAATGCCACATCGCTACAGAAGCAATAGAATCTATGAGATTAGACATCTCTTCTTCTCTTAAGGATCGTAAGGATTGGACTCGTTTGGCGCTTAAAAGCTCCAACGTATAGATTTTCTCTAATTTTCTCCAATATTTACCATATGGTGAAAAGATTACATCAGTATAACCATAGGACATAAAATTTGCTAATTCATTACACGGCCTTGATGCAAAAACAGCATCATGAGTTTTCATCACTTGCTCGGTGAACTCCGGCGAAGAAACAACAATAGTAGAAATTTCTCCAAGCTGGAGATGCATAAAGGGTCCATATATCTTGGCCAACTCTCTCAGTCCACGATGAGGAAGACATCCCAGAGATCCCAGAGCAGCAAGCTGGTGCAGATTAACAATAAGAGGTAATTTCTGTGGCCCTGGAGGAAGACTTAAGGTTCCGTCGTTGGTTTTAAATCTTTTCCCAATCTTTATCACCATGAAGACAAAGATAAGAAAGCTGAGAAGGATTGAGAAGGAGGGGAACACGAGCTCCATATTGGCAAGATGGAAAGCGGAAAGTGCGAGGAATATTTATACCATTTTGGCCTCTAAAACAACATATATATGCATTTCACTAATGAAATTGTATATCTGCACACGGATGGGTCCACTTTTGAAATGGAAAACCCAGAATGATCCACTATCAAAGTCCCTCAATAAGGTTTTCTCTCTTTGCACCTAGAAAATCAATTATTAGTTTCAAAATTATATTTTTTATCATATTATTATTATAATTGCAATACATAGCTCGCAGATTGATATTTAATTCAATAAAAGTATAAAATGACAAAATAATGATTTTTTTTTTTTAAAGTTTAATAAGAAAAATCATTTTTAAAATTTTAATTACATGTTTTTTAAGATAATTGGATGCAGAATGAAAGGCTTGTGAGTAGTGAACCCATTTAACAAAAACAAAAGAAAAACTATTACTTTGTCTTTAGAATCGACAGGTTTTTAAATGTAGCCCCCCTTGAAGTTTATATTATTATTCAATTAACCATCAGGGTAAAATTATTATCCTCCTATTGATTTTTGTAGACTAAAATCAAACTCTAGACTATAAAAACTATAAAAAGACTTAAAAACTTAACTATTCTTTAGAAAAATGTTAGCTGACACAATTGTCTTGTGTTAAAGATTAAAAAATACTTAAGAATTCAGGAGATTAAAAGTTGAGATTTTATATGTTATTTTTGTTATCTTACATTTATATTGACTATTATTGCTTAAGTAGATTTTTTGTATCATTTGGTTGCAATTGAAGAAAAATTTATAGGTAATTTAATACGTTATTTTTATTAAGGAAGGTGACACAAGGCAACAATAAGATTCAAATTCAAACTAGAAATCTGGAAGTGATTTGCAGGAAAAATCAAGCCGAGAATCATGTCCTGTAATTGATGCATTTATTGTATTTTAGTAAACAAAATCTATAACCGATGTACATGTTATTTTCTTAGCTGTTCAATTCCTTAGATAGATTTGTAAAGTCTGTATAAAATCATCAGAAAGATCAATACAATTTGTGTGTTGACATTTCCATTGTGAGCTCCAAAATATTTACTTTTCTATATGGTATCAAAAGAGCAAATCTCTAACGAGAATTTTATCCTCATGTCTTCCGCAAATCAGCCTCCCTCTTCCTCAGAAATTCCTCTTGTCGTTTTTAACATCGAAGCTTAGATCAATGAGAAATTCACTATTGGATAAGGGTGAGCACCCATGATGGATTAACCCAAACGACGTTTGAAGTGGAAACTACCAAAGACAGTTTTCGCCTAAAAATCTGCTCGGTAACTGCCGCCCATATATAAGTGAAGTTTTTCTTTTAGAAACTTTTTATTTCACTCTCTCTCTCTAAAAAGATACTCTACGGTGGTTTTTCTCTCCAGATTCAACTTTTGCTTCAGAGTTAAGGAGAAGAGGTATTTATGCTGTGAAATACATTATAATTCGTTTATGTAAAATGTGATTGCAATGGGTGACTATTAACATGATCTTGGGATTAGTTTAGAATATTTGTTATTCTAAATTTTTTCCAACAATGGTATCAGAGCCGTGGTTTACATTGTTTTTAATTTTGTACTAATGTGTTAAAGCATGTTGCATGTTACGTAAATGTAGTTCTGAAATTTCACTTTTAGTGAGTAAAAAGTTGTCTTCTAGTAATGATAATTAGATTATTAGATTCCTTATGAAATTATGAAGAAAATGGCTTTTGAATCATAAAAAACGGAGTTAAAATGACTTAATTATGCCTCTTTAAAGATTCGGGTTTTGTATGGGTTGTCTTTCGGGTCGGGTACCAAGTTACAGACCTGGACAGAGGTAGAAGATGACAAGGACCACAAGTCGTTTTAATTTCAGCCTTATAAACGACTTGTCATTTGTTTTGCTCCTTTTAATAAAAAAATGAAAACCAATGTGGGTGGTGAGACTTGGGTAAAATGAAAACCAATGTGGGTGGTGAGACTTGAACCCAAGTCTCTACGTAGAAGGGAGATAAGTTTAACCACTAGGCTACAATTTTGTTTGTGTTAACCATACTTACAAATCCTATATATTCATCTCTGGCCCAACCCAAAAACAAAATAAAATGGGTCAAGTTGACCTGCATATTTGACCCAGAACAGCAAACGGGTTAGTCAAACCTGGTAATGGTCAATCGACCCGATCAACCCCGACCATGTGACCAAACAGGTTAGTCAAATCCGATCAATGCCTGACCCATAAGGTCAAACAAAGTCAACGGGTCAAATCGACCTGGTTAAAGGTGAAATGGGTCAAATCGACTCGAATTCAGTGTGAGGCGCGTGGTGAACCCTGACCAGCACGTGGTTGCTTCTGTCAGTGCGTGGAGGCGCGTGACTGCTTCTAGGTGGCGCACAAGGGCATGTGGAGTGTTCTAAAAATTTTTTTCTTTGCTGTAAAGAATAAAATGCATACGTGGTACGTTATTATGAGTCTAATTTTGTTATTAAGCCATAAACATGTTTATATATTATTTATCAAATATAGTCAACCTTTATTTTATAAATAAATAGTTTTTTTTTTTTTTTTTTTTTTTTTTTTTTTTTTGTTATAGAAAAATGTTACGTTATAGATGTGCAATGGCTGCTAGAACACCCACTCAAAAGGAAAGGGTTATGAACATGATTAGAACTCTACAAACTCACACCTTCATATTAAGAGACACAGAGGATGAGTTGGTGCAACTCGTAAATCATTTCATTCACGTGAATGAAAAGATTCAGGAAATTGTCTGGATAGGGGGATTAAAGGAAGATGAGTTGAAATACAAAGTCCTTAGAGAGATTCTTGGTTACCCTAGTCTCGTTGGTCTCCTTGATCTGGTTTGTAACAAGCTGAAAGTTCAAAACTTTAAAGATGACAATAAAGATTATAGACGTTTAGTCAACTACTACATCAAGGAGTACATAGATTGGAGTGCCAAAAAGACGATTGGTGCATCTATAGGAGTCTCCACTCGTAAAGGACATCACAAGAAACTGGGAGTTCCCTTGCCTAGGGTTACTTACAAGTTAGATAAAGACCTTAGGATAAGGATTATCAGATCCTTCCCAGTTTATGGAATGTGGCAATACACTTAGTTTTTTTTGGAAATTGTTTGTTTTAATATCACTACATGTTGAATTCTATTTGCATAATGGAATCAGTTCTTATTTATTTATTTATTTTTCATTACAATTTAAATTTTTATGTGAATTTATGTTGAATTATACTTATATGATTGTGTCTTAATATTATTTTAGAATTGCAATTAATTATATCTATGATAATTGGAGATTAGAATTTTGGATGATGAATGTTGACATTGTTAACTTTTGATTCCAAATCTAATATATAATTATTAGTAATATAATTAATTAAATATATGTATGTTCCGAGCATTGAATAACATGTATTATCCAATTTGTAATTTTTTAGAAATGGCATCTGCATCTAAGAACATTGTAGCCAAACTTAATAAAGGAGAAAAATTTAACGACGAAAATTATGAGATATGGAGCATGAAAATCCAATATGTCTTGGAAGAACAAGAGGTTCTTGAAGCTCTTACCACGATTATGGAAGAGCTTGAAAAAGGAGTCACAGCTCAACATAAAAGAGACTGTGCAGCTTATGACATGTGGAAGAAGAAGAATTCTATTGCTCGCATCACTTTGTTGAGCGGTATGGACAATGATATCATGAAAAAGTACCGGGATTATGAATTAGCAAAGGACATGTGGTCCGCCCTTGCTACAAAGTTTGGTGGTACATCCATTACCAAACTTCGGTCACTCACTATCAAGTTTGACACATATAAGAAAAAGGCTTAACATACTATGAGAGTACACTGAAGACACTTGTCAAACATGATTAGTGAGTTGAGAGATGCAGGTCATGTCCTAACTGATGAACAACAGGTTCAAGCTGTCAGAAGATCATTGCCTCAAAATTGGGAACACATGAAGATACACCTTACCCACAATGAGGGCATCAAAAATTTAGAAGATGCCACGCGACATTTGGAACTGGAAGAAGATCACCTTAATGCGAGCAAGGCAAATACTAATGTGTATATAACTGGTACCAGTTCACATGGTGGGAAGGGATTTAAACGTAAATTCCAAGAGGATCCCAAAGAAAAGGCAATACGGATAAAGCTCAAGGGAAGAAGAGAAAGTTTTATAAACACGGAAAAGGAAAACATCCTGCCAGGAAGAGAAACATGGCAAAGGTGAAATGCTATAACTGTGGCAATAAGGGACATTTTGCTCACAATTGTAGCAAGTCGAAAAAGGTAAATTACTTGTTTGCACAAGTAAGTTATATAAATGTTTCCAGTTCTGTTTTTCTAACTGAATCTCATCCTTTGTAGACTATAGATTCAGTAGCAACAGACCACATAGCGAAAGATAGGAGTGCTTTCATGGAGTTTGTACGAATACCACGAGAAACAAAATGGATATATGTAGGTAACAATTCAAAAGTGGAAGTTAAAGGGATCGGCACATGCAAATTGATCATGCGTGGAGGTTGAATCCCATACCTACATGACGTGTTATATGCACCTGATATTCGTCGAAATTTGATTTCCGTGATAGAACTTATTAAACTAGGTTTTAATTTCCAGTACTGGTGTCCATTTATTTTTGGACACAATATACTATGGTTGTGGTTATATTTCTGATGGTTTTATCATACTTGACATTGCTCATAATTATAGTAATGTTTTTTTTTCCTTCATTACATATTCCAATAATGATGATGTGAATGTATAGCATGCACGGCTTGGCCATAATGGCCAATAACGAATGAATATACTGGCAAGAGAAGGCTTGTTAGGATCCTTAGCAAAAGTAGACTTGACTACTTGTGAACATTGCCTAGCTGGAAAAACAGAAAGAAAACCATTTGGAAAAGCGATAAGAGCTGAAGTTCCATTGCAACTAATTCATTCTGACATATGTGGTCCAATGAATGTG